CTGCCGGCCATTTAGGATTTTGATGTTGCGTGACCGGCAGTCCGCCGTGTTGGTTGAGATTTTTCTCGAATAGAGAAATGTCTATACAGTACCATGAAAGTTTCAGAAATGTTGATTATGTTGTTTTAACTCTTTAAATAGAAATAATAAAAGAGAAATCTGTTCTTTTATGAGCTGCCGGCCATTTAGGATTTTGATGTTGCGTGGCCGGCAGTCGGTTCAAGTTCGCACAATGTCTCTAAGTGCAACGAATTTCGGCGCGACGTTTATGTAACTTTTAACACACTCATTTTACTCGTAGAGTTTTATTATGGAGTTTGGAAGCTCGTTTAGATAATAAGAGAGGGAAAAAACACATTTTATGGGCTGCCGGCCATTTAGCTTTTTAAGACCTTGACCGGTAACCGGCCATATAGACACAGCGTTTTACCAAATACAGTACTTTAACCTGATAACACTTCAAGCAGGTAATCTCTCAAATCTTTCACATATTTATCTGCAAATCACTGGTAAATTTTTGTCAATTCTGTGCTATGTGAAAGGCGACATCTGCATTACAGAGTTAACAAAATCTTCAACAGAGACTGAATTAATAGAGATTCTCCAGGATAATAGCAAAATGATCCTGTGAAAAAATTGCAGCTGATAGTATTTTCCGGAAAAAAGGAATACTCAATTGTTGTGTCTAAAAACCATATTGTCAGAAATAATCTAATTCGTGCAAAGAAAAAACCAAAACAAAATGCATAGTTGAAGCTATGTCTGCCTAAAGACATTCAAAAGCTTAAGACTACCATATTTTAGCAGCCTAGTCAATGGAACTGATCTAAATCGATCCCTTTTCTCTGTAGCAATATCTAAGTTTCTATATTATTCATCCCAACAGAGCGCCTTCCCCAGTCGGTCCGGGACTGTATGGCAAAGTGTCCTGAACCATGCGAGCAAATGATCTACAAGACTAAGCTATCCTATGCTAGTGCATCAAGCAAGTCCTTTATAGAAAGAATTAAGTCACCAAAGCTCCAAAACAAGACAATGGAAGAGAGAGTAGAATATATCAGGTAAATCAGGGTTTTGTTTTGTAGGGACACCGCTTGCCATGTATAGCAGTCGGTTAAAAATACAAACACGAATGACCAATAGTGTCCTTCACTGTTTACTGTCACATCTTGAAATGTAGCCGTTTTCTTAGCATCGGATCGAGAGGAACGTTGAGGGCGGGTGCAATGGTAGAAATATTCTCTCACCTACAGACAATTATTCACAGGTATCTGTCATTGCACAGTCAGGTCTTCTCACTAAAAGACAAAAATACCTTCGAAGATAGAACAGGACCTTGAAGGAGACAAAACTATTGACCCAAGATAATGTTATACTGTTAAAACAACGTCATTTTTCTATTTTTAGAAACAACATGGTTTCTTTGGATGTGTATTTCGAGGAAAACAAGTACGATCTCGTTGAACAAACAGAATCAATATCTCTTATATCACTTTTTGGTAGGTTCCATTCATAACAAGCCTAATGTCTGTTTCACGGATTCATGCTCGATCTTGTGAGGTGTATGGAAATATTTTTGCCACAGACCAGGTTACCTGTAGTTCTTTCTTTGGTGATGGTGGTGATGGAGAGGGGGGGGGGATACCTTATCTCTTATGGATACCTTATCTCTGCCATATATGGTAATAGGGTGGATTATAGATCGTTGAAAAATCTAGCTTCATGGGTATAATATCGCAAACTTCAAATTTAAAATTTAAAGAACTAAATATTGCAGCTGAATGAAGTACACCTTCTTTAGGTAATTCCTTGAAGTGGGATCCACACTCTCGTTAGCGTCTAATATAGGTAACATAGTAAATCAGCTTTAAAACGTTTTGGTTGAGAGTTCAAAGAGCAGAATATCAAGAACGTTAAACATTAAACACATGTGTCTGTCTGTTAAGTTTGTATACAAATCGAGCATAAATTTTTGTTTTTCCTTCAGGAACCGTTGGTGGATATCTTGGCCTCTTTCTTGGAATGAGTCTCCTTACAGTCCTTGAATTTTTGGATTTTCTGATTCTTTGGATGTACAAAGTGATCTTTCGAGACAGACGAACCACGCCAGTGCAGACATTTTAAATTATTATATAGATGATCTGTAAAGCGCGCTCTGATTGGTCAAAAAAGTGTGGTTTATGAGAGTTTATAATATTCATTAATAATTCATAAGTTACACAGCCATTCAGTGACCGCCATTGTAGTCACATGACTACCCTTGTATTCACCAATACAAACTTTAAAGCGCGGGGAGGGCTTGAATTCAGAGCAGGGAAAGGGTGCGGTTGATGAATAATAACAATTGAGAATGAGATCTATTACTATTCTATATAAAATTAACAAATGCTTAAATATGTTGTTTCTTAGTAATAATAGAAATGTGCACAGCTCGTTAAACGTATCACAAAAGACATTGTTGCATCGAATCTGTTCTATAATGGGGTTATGTAACCATAGCTAGGTAATGAAGCAGTTATTATTTTCTTTTCCACGGACCGTATGTCGCATAATTTTTTGCCTTCAGTTAGCGTTCATCGTGCACTCAGAACAAGCTCGAGAATTATGGCTAACTTTAGAAAACAAGAAGACAAGAACGAAGTCGAAAATTGGCTGCAGGATTCTTATAACATCTAATACCAAACATACCATAACGTTTGGTTTGGCTGTGATATCGGTGATGTGCAAAATCTGGACAAGAAGCTGAAAGAAATCACTCCAACTACGTTGAACTCTTTAAATATTCTTGGTTAACAAAGTTCGTCGGAGAGTTATTGCCAACAAGAGTGGCGGACAATATTTATCAAATTAAATCTCTATTTGTGATTGTTTCCGGCCTTAACAGTCTTCTACAAAACGTAAAGGCAGAAAATTTATTTAACCTCCGACAAGAAAAATTTCGTAAATGTAAATACGTGCCATTTTGACTATTCATTTTGCTAGATCGATATCTATTAGCATTTTATATTCTTTCTATAGCAGGCTAACAGACCTGTTATTAGTATATTCTATGTAATGTATACAGCACGAGAGAGCGTGTTGTATCACTGATACAGAACTAATGTTTTATTAATTAGGTCTGTATCA